CGGGGATCACCGACCTGAATGGTTTTCTAATTTTATAAACCTATTGTGTCTCCCAGGATAGCCACAGTAAACACAATCCTCTGATGGTGGCAAGGGCTTTATATCTAAGAACTGGAAAACTGCCAAAGGGCCTCTTCCCCAGAGTCTCTTCCCTGGAGATCCATTCACCCCACAGTCCAGAAAATGTCAGTCTTCATGGGATGCTGAGATAGGTGATTCCGTTCCCCGAATCTCATCCAACCCAGAGAACTCAGTCCTGTAAAACAAAAGCATCAAGCTTTCTGGGGAATCTAACTGTATGCAGTAGTCACATGACATGTCAGGGGGACGCAAAGATTATTTTTCCTATTAATTTCCATTGATCTTAGGGACATTCTATAAATGTATTAGACCCCCGGCTCCTTAAGTAGGTGAGAGAATATAAATTATTAATTGCATACCCCACATCCAGTATAGTGCTTGGCACATAGTAAGTGCTCAATAACTGCTTTCTGGCTGAGATGTTGTGTGTTCTTTGCTGTTTATAGCATCTTAGTGGGCCCTGGAATTAGATGGGCCCATATGTGTATAGCAGATACTGTGGGGAGCACACTCCAGTAAATGAAAAATGTGGTGTTCAGAGGGTGTGGCTGCTCAAGCAAGCAGCCCAAGGGGAAACCACTGTGAGGAAGCTCACAGTCCCCACGTGTGTTTGTGTGTCATGCACTATTCTTGGCACTCTGCATGTGCCAGCTCCTTTCCTCCTCTCTGCCGACCTGTGAGGCAGGTGGTACTCATCTTTCTTTTACAGATGAGGAAGTCTTTTCTTTACAGATGAGGAAGTCAAGGCAGAGTGAACATTCCCAGGTAACACAGCTAGTAAATGGTACTGGGACCTCACCCCAGGCTAGCTGATTGCACGGTTCATGCCTTTAACAGCTTCCTTCTACTGCATCTCTGCAGAGTACAGCCCTAACAATGGGCTGCATGAAATTGAGGAACACAGCAGGGAGCTGACTTAGGCAAACTCAGTAGGCAAGCATGGGGTTAGTCAACACAAGGGCCATCTCATGGCTGACCACTGGAGTCTGGAGCAGGGAGGGTCTGGATACTAGATTGATGATTAAGACAGGGATTCACTCATGGGAGCAAGGCAAGAAGGCAATGGCCAGAATCAGGCAAGAGAGCTCTTGGAGCTCAAAAGTCTGGTTCATACTAACTAAAGCTCACGGTGATGAGTCCCAGGGTCTTGTAATAGACTTCTGAAACACTCCCTCTCTAAGCTCTGTGTTGACCAAATTCTAGGGCAAGGCTGAACATCAGTCTCAGAGTGTTTTCTTAAATGTGGGAACTGCCTGAATAAGGGAATGGAAAAAAGCAGAAAGCATCCAACCTTATCCAATGCACAGACATGCTCTATTCCCTTACAGTGAATGCATTCTCTTCAGGCCCACCCTGTTTTTTGAGGCCATCCAACTGGAGCCAGTGTTTATTTCCAAGGTTGTGTTATATGATGGGAAAAGTTCTCTGGAGGAAAATTCTGGGGCTCATTAAACAGTGGGTAGAAGAGGAGAGAATGAGGGAGGGAAGTAAAGAGAAGATTATAGCAGGGTGATGTTTTCTTTTCCTGTAGGAAAGAACCTAAAATAATTGCATCTGTTGTTCAGAGCATTTTTATTTTTCACACTTATTCCTGTTTATGCAAAGGAATGGGTTAGGAGATTGCATTCTTAGGGGGAAACTCTGCCCAGGAAATACATTGCTGTGTCTACAGGACTTTTTAGGTCATTGAGGGAATTGATTGGAAACCAGTATTTATTTACAGTGGAAGATGATTGACTAGAAGTTCCTTCCATTCCCCTTTGCTTTTAAAACAGTTCGTATTTATGATATGTATTTGGACAAATTGATTAGCCTCCTTTTGAGCATAACTGAGAAACCTAGGAATGCTTGTCAAAGATTGCTCAGTGCAAATGCAGTCTGGGAAACACTACCTGATTATTTGCTGGGGGACTTATGGTGAAATAAGAAAGGAAATAGTGGCCAATGCTGTCAAGCAGGCAGCTTTTGCAGGCAACAGGCCTTCTATAAGTCCAGCTTTTTCTTCGAAGTAACTAATGCCTTAATTCTCTCTTAACAACCATTAATCAAACCAACGCATAGGACACAACTTCAATAGCAAATTGAGCCTAAAGTATAAACAGCATATAATGGCTTTGTTTTTCCATCTTTTTGGCATTGGCATTTTAGCAGAGGTCTTGACTAATATGAGAATCTCCTGGATGGTTGAATTTCAGGAACTGGCCAGAGGCTGGTAGGAGGATTATTATGGGCAGGCTGGCTTTCCTCAACTCTGAATAACACCACCACTCCACACAGAAAAGAACTTCTCTTATGACTGCCCTGTTTTCCTCATAAATTCCTCAATGAGTTTTCTGAGAATGGGTCCAATGGGCTGGCTATTCTGAAGGACTTTAATCAACTTTCTTCGCTGATGGACTGGAGGGAAAGGTGAGAGAACACCAGGGGAACAGTTCTGCAGTTGCTTTCACTGACTTTTCACAAGGGTGAGAGTTTCCTAAGCTCTGTCCTGTGATATCAGCATTTGAGCTGAGACTTTGAGGGTGTTTATGAACTTTGGTCTCTGGGAGAAGTGAAAGAATAAACTGGGGAGAGAAATTGAGAGAAAGCAGAGGGGTTTGGAGTTGAGGACTCTGTTAGTTTGCTAGGGCTGCTGTAACAAGTACCACAGAATGGGTGGTTTAAACAACAGAAATATATTTTCTCACCATTCTCGAGGCTGGATGTCAGCTATCAAGAAGTTGGCAGGTTGATTTCTTCTGAGGCCTCTCTCCTTGGCTTGTAGATGGCCATCTTCTCTCTGTGTCTTCACATGGTCATCCTTCTGTACATAACTATGTCCTCTTCTTATAAGGACATCCATTATATTAGATTAGGAGCCACTTTCATGACCCCATTTTAACTTAATTAAAGGTCCTATCTACAAATATAGTCACATTTCAAGGTACTAGAAAGGGGTAAGGACTTCAACATACAAAATTTGGAGGGTACCATTGAGACGTAACAACGAGTAAATCTGGGGAAGCTTCTGCAACCAGAAGTCATGTATGTCCTTCTCTTCATAGAGGAGCCAGCTCTTGGCCACAGAGCATAGACACTAGAAATCCAGTACCATCAACATTAGGAATCACCTAGGGGAGGCTCTAAGGCCCATCTATTTTCTACTGGTTTTCCAACTTGGCTGCTTATTAAAATCACCAGGAAGTTTTTAAAAACACTGATGCCTAGATACTCACCCTTTGAGACCCTGATTCAACTGGTATGAGGTGGGGACCAGAGTTAGTCGTTTTAAAAAACTTCTCAGGAGATTTTAATGTGCAGCTAGCATAAAATAAGCCAGAGGCTAGAGAGGCTCGATGACTTGCCCAAGATCAGAAAACATGTGTGGACTAATGCGCAGGGCTCCTGACTTGGGTCCCATGGCTCTTCCACTAGTACCTTTCTTTACACTTCTGAAATATTGATATTCCATCAAGTTTCCTGTGATGGATGCCATGGTGCCCCAGACCCCCTGTCCAGCATGAAAGCACTCCTTTCCCCAGCTGGTGCACTGGCCCGCCGTGTAGAGAGTGGTGGATGAAGATGTATGAAGACAAGATAATTCTGAAGGGCCCTCTCACTTCCAGAGCTCCCTGTAGTCACTGTATTGAAATTCAGCTGCTCCCTTTGCCCAGTCCTCCTTCTCTCACTCCCTGATGGGGGAACTTGTGGATTCCAAAAACACTCTCCAACGAATTTCTGCTATCAGTTTTAATCTCAGAGCCTGTGTTCTGGGGAACCTGACCCATAAAAGTTCCTCCCTGTTCATAGTGCTTATATGAGTACTTGTGAGTGCTTACCATGTTGGATTCTGTGCTGAGTGCTTGGAATATGAAGAGAAATGAAACCCAGTTTCTACTTAAGTGGTTTGCCATCTACCAGAGGTGTTGGTCAACAGCCACCTCCAATTCCCTGTCTGAGTTGCTGTGATAGCAACGTAAAAGTGGTATGGGAGCACTGAAGAAGGGGATGCTGATGTCCTGGCCAAGAAGGACAGCCAAGGCCACTCTGGTCTATATGTTCTAACTGCTCTTAGCTGTCTGTCTAGGAGGCTGAACCTCTTCTTGAAACAACAGTTGATCTTGCTTGCCTCTACAAACTTGTATGTTCTAGATAGTCTTTACTTTACTTTAGGTGGACTGTAGGGGAGAAAGTGGTGAGTAGAGGAGAGACAACAAAGAAAAGAAAAAAGTGCAAGAACCAAGGTGCCTAGGACATCACGATGGTTAACTTTAGACGTCAACTTGACTGGGTTAAGACATACTTAGATGACAAAACATTATTTATCAGTATGCATGTGAGGTTGTTTCTGGAACAATTTGCATTTAAGTCAGTGGATTGAGTAAAGAAAATTTGGCCTCACCAATGTAGATGGGCATTATATAATCCACTGAGGGCCAGACAGAACAAAAAGACAGAGGAAAGGTGGATTTGCTGTCGCTGTTTGAGCTGGGACATCTATATTCTGCCCTTGGACGTTAGAACTCCATGTTCTTGGGCCTTCAGGATTTGGGACTTATACCAGTGCCCCCAGCTTCCCCTGAGTTTCTCAGACCTTTGGCCTCACACTGAATTATACCACTGGGTTTCCTGGTTTTCCAGCTTGCCAACAGCATATCATGGGACTTCTCTGACTCAATAATCATGTGAGCCAATTCTCATAATAAATACACTCCAATCTATCTATCTATCTATCTATCTATCTATCTATCTATCTATCTATCTATCTATCTATCTTTCTATCATCTATCATCTCTCTAACTATCATCTATATTATCTATCATCTATATCATCTATCCATCTTCTATCTATCTAATCTATCACCTGTATCATCTATCTCTCTCTCTCTCTCTCTCTCTCTCTCTCTATCTATCAATCATCTATCCACTCATCCATTCATCTATCCCATTGGTTAGGTTTCTCTGGCAAACCTTGAGTAATACAGATACAGTTTGGGAGTTCAGTTTGGGCCTCTCATCTGTGGCTCCCCCTTCCTTCCCCGGAGGCTTTTCACCATCACCGTCACCAAGACCAGACCCCCAGAGCTCTCATATTCAGTCCTCCCCACAAAGAAGCTCCAGGATGAGAGCTGATCTGTTAGGGAGATAATATCAGAGTCAGTGTGACACCCTCCAAGGGAGACTTTCCCCCTGTATCTTAAGTGGTAGAAGAAAAAACAGTCATCAACCAGCAGGTAGGTGAGGTTTAGGAGCATCCAAGGGGTTCTCCCAATGCTTCTGACACTGGACTTACATGGACAGCTGAGTGCAAATGAGGTTATGCAGTCCTGCACCTCCAGACGTGGTGATGGAGAACAAGTAGGGCTAGGTCTGTGACAGCTGCCTCTCTGTGTGCTGAAAAGAGGATGGCCAGTACAGCAGTACTTAAGAGAAGGAGGCCCGTCACTCCACTAGCCTCAGGCAGTCTCATGCTGCCTGCAGAGCATCCCCTGTGGGCCAAGACCTGGTGTGGGCCAGACAGAGAGTGCCAGTGCAATGGGAGTGAAGACCCCAGCCTTCTTGCAGCCTCCAGCTTAAGTTGGTTGACAGGCACATCATCACCAGGGGTCTCAAGTCTGGTGGAAGACAAACAATCTGCACCCTGGGGAGCCTCAGGCCTCCTGGCCTAATTTGAGAGATGTGGTTTCTGCCACAGGTCAGTATTTAGGACAAACATACATGTTTAAAAGACCTAAGAAGGGAAACAAATAAGACATTAACATGTGCAAATGGTTACAGCTGAATAGCTAGTGTCAAGAGATAGGACAGAGAGACAGAGCTGAGAGCAGGATGTCCCAAACACGTGGAGTCAGCCCCTCATCACCCCTCAGCCAAATCAGGTGGTGATGAGGGTGGGGTGGGAGTGGGGAGCTCCAGGCAGGAGGGGGTACATTGTAGGTACAGCATTAGTTATTAGAAAACCCAGTGCCCTACCAAATTGCAGGCAGTGACTGCTGTACAATACTGAAAGTGAATACTGTGCAATTGTATGCATATGTATGTGAAAGCGTGAAAATTACCAAGGGGACATATTTGAGGGATCTCTAACAGCATTCCTTGGGTGTTTTGTATGCACGAGTTTATGATTTGTGAGCATAACTGTGTGTAGAATGTGTACATGTTTGTTTGTGTGTGCTTACAGTTGTGGGGGCTTCCTTTCTGTTGGGGGAAGGTTGAAGATACCCATGAACTAATCATCAAATCTGCTCTCTTTATTATTCCAGGAAGCATTCCCTGTGAACCCAGGCGAACTCGTTCCTGCATTGGTCTGGTTGGCTTTCCTTGTGAGATATAGGTTCCTCCTGAAGACCTGGAGCTCCAGTTCGGCTCTAGACTTCTCCTTGCTTCCAGACTTCGAGATGAGAAGCATTTTTCCAGTGCATAAGTGTCAGAGGACACTGCCAATGGTGTGTGTTTTGTCCAGGCTGGACTCAGCTTCTTTGTCTGGGAAAAGGTTAAGTTTTCTTCAAAATAAGAAGCATCTAGAGAACCTGAGACCATTAAGCGAACTTTTAGAAGTAGATGAGAAGGAAAGTTGGAAAACAAGGTACTCTTGCTTACAGAGAAACTAGGAGATCACCTTAATTAAGAAAGCACCTTAATTTGGGGCAGAGAGGGGTTTATAGAAAGTTGGTTGGAGAGAGTGGAGCTTGAAGTAGAGCTAATTTCCTGAATTCTTGGGTTAAAGACTCCCCATGGCATCCCTCCCCAAAGCAGACAGCCGTTAAAGGAGCAGGTTTGAGCCAGGGAAGCTGATGGTCTGGCTGCACAATGGGCACAGGGCCCTGGGGCCTGGACAGCCTGCTACATGGCCTTTTGCATGGAGAAGGCAGAAAGCAACAGCCCTGGGTGCTCAAGCCTGACTCCCAGGGCATTTAAGGTGTCTGAAGCTCAGGCAGGACAAGGGGCTGTAGAAGATGCAGTCAGGTTTGGTTTCCTCCTGCCTTCACACAGCCCTGGTTTTGTCTCTCACTTGGGGACCCCAACACAAGGGCAGTGATCCTAGTAGCTATCACTTGACTATTCCTCTTCCTGTCTGCGGATCCTCACTGCCTGGGGCCCCCTCCAAGGCCTTGCTGACACATTTACATCCACCCAGAATGTCCTTAACTGCCCTACACTGATCTAAACACCTCCCAGTCTCCAAGACTTGGTTTAAATACCACCTACCCCAGGAAGCCTTTCATGATTTCTTTAGTTCCCCAGTTCTCTTGGACCCTGGACTCTTCTAATTTTCCTCCTGCGTCACTCCCCATATCTCACTCATTCTTCTTCCCACCCACCCGAATGTTGGAATACCTGGGGCACCGTGCTGGGGTCTCTTTTTTCCTTTACAAACACTTTCTCTTTTCAGGGAAATTTTTTTACCTTGTGGTCTTAATTACTAATCTATATCAATAACTTCAAAATTCAAGTGTGTACAGCTGGCCTTTTCCATGATCTTGAGACTCAGGTATCCAATTGTCTTCTCTTCACCTCCACTTGTTTATGTAATAGGAATCTCAGCTCTTAAACCATCCCCAAAGGAGGCTCTGCTTCCTTCTGCGACTTCTCTTTTTCCCAGTCTCAGTAAACGGCACCACCATGTACCTAGTTGCTCAAGCCAAGCAGAGGCCTAATTCTAATTTATCTCATTCCTCTATTCTCTGGATACCTTTCATTGACAAATCCTACTGACTGCTTACAGGCTGTAGAATACTACATTCTTCTAAATTGTTCTCTCAACCCAGGACAGGCCACGATCTTCACAATCAGGAACATTGCAAAATCTTTTCATGCATTCCCCTGCATTAAATCCTGTTACTTAAATCCACTCTTCACAGAGTCAAATGGCATTTTCAGGACAGAAATGAAACCACACACTCCTCTTCTCAGAACCCTCTGGGGTCTTTCTATCACGCTGAGGATAAGATGCAAATTTCTTATCCTGGCCCACATAGTTGGGTTTCAGGGGGTCTGGCCCTTGCCGGGTTCTCTGATATCATCTCTCTGCTTCCCCTTTTGCTCATCCCACTCCACCTACTGTTTCTCAGAGGCCCTGAGGTTGTCCCCACCTCGGATCCTTGGCACCGGCTATGTCCTTTGCCTGGGATGTTTTTGCTCTACATCTTCCCAGGGCTGCCTGCTTCCTGTCAGGCAGGTCTCAGGTCAAATGCCACTTCTACCAGGAAGCCTTTCCTGACCAGGTTAAAGCAGCTGCTCACTCACCCTCTCTCCTGCACCACCCTGCCCTATTTTCTTCATAGCACTGATGACACCCGGGCACTGTGTTGCCTGTTTGTTGGGTTTATTTTTTATAGTCTATCTCCCTGCACCAGCATGGAGACTCTATGAGGTCAGAAAGCCTCCTCAATTCACTCCCCAACTCTATCCCAGCCTTCAAAGTGATGCCTGGCCCAGAGCAGGCACACGGCAAGTCTTTACTTAATGACTAAATAAACAAATGGGCCCCAAAGAGATGCTGTTTGATTTGGAAAGCTTTGATTTCCTTTTTGGGAAACGAGTTCTAGCTGACTGCAATTTTTACTCAAAAGGATTCAGTCTGTGTATTTTACTCAAATAATATGCATTGCAGTTCCTGCCCTTTCCCTAATATTTTGATACAACTATTACTATGTATTATTTATTTGTTATGGAAGAGATGGACCATATCAGGTCTCCATGTTTTTGCAGATAAACTCTTAAGCATTGGGGGATTTATGTCCAGTGTGCCTTCCTCTCCACAGCCTGGCAAAGAGGCAGTGCTATGCCAGAAAATAGCACTCAGGCAGGACTTCAGGGTGGGGACCTCTAATCTGGCTTTGCCAGAAGTGAGTTGCAACCCATTTGGGATAGTCATTTATCCCAATCTGGTTTTCTAGGTTGCAAGATAAACTTAATAATTGTAGCCCTTCCACTCTGATGAGGCAATTGGAAAGAGGAAGAAGATAGCAAGCACGTATATTTAAAGGGAAGGTGGTTGTCACTCATTTTTTCACTCATTCATCCATCAAATATTTCAGAGCAATGTACTGGACTAGCTAATGCATGGATGAAAGGATGATGGGATGGGCATTGTATACCCCTCCTTCCCTCATGCGTCTGGTAGGGTTGTTACACGCCAATGATGATTGCTGGGGTGTGCAAGGTTATGTAAGAGAGGTGCAGCACTGTGCTGTGGGGTTCAGAAGCAGGATGGTCTCCACTGGGAGGCTTCTGAGATAGGGGAAGATGTTGCCTTGAGGAAGCCAGACCTAACCAAAACCAGCCCCTCATGGGTCTGCAGAGTACCCAACCCAGGAGCCAGCACAGCTCCAGCAGGCTGCAGACAGTAAGGTGACATTTCCCGGCCAAAGCCATCCTCTATGACCCTTCAGTGCCGAAGCTTGAATTGACCTGACTGGCAGATTCTGAGGCTATGGAACAAATATTTCTCCTTTTAGATTTTAACCTTCAAACAAAGACAGAAGAAAATATATATATAGGCATTTATTGTCTTATATGTGCTGTTAATTGATTCATTTTGAGTCTTTTTTTGCCTTGCCTCAATGGGGGTTCAGTCTTGTCTTCCCCATGGGAGCCAGGCTGCAGGCAGGCCCTTAGAGTTTCACTGGGTTCTTCGGATCTGATCTCGCTTATAGCTACTATTTCCAGTAGGTGCTCCAGTTAACACCATCTGTGTTGCAGCCCAGTTCCCTCTCTTCTTCTTTCCCTGAGTAAAGCTTCCCAGGCTTGGGACAGACAAGAGCCCTGAGATCAGAGCCCCTCTGGGAGTTGCTGGGAAAGACCAGAGAGGCTGAAGGCAGCTGAGGGGATTTCTTTCAGTGAATCTCCAATTCTGTCTTTATGCAATGCAGGCAGAACAGGAAGGCATCCCTGAATTCCTTCCATTACAGATTGGAATGGCCTTTGACAAAGAGTTAAGGTGTCAGCATAAAATGAAGGACCAAGTCTCTGGAAGAAAAAAAAAGAAATGTGAAAAAGCTTTATTTTTATTTTTTAAAAAGGCAAGTGCAAAATCTATTTATTTGGCAAATGGAACGAATGCCATCTGGAATAACATGACTGCTTTCTTTCTTTTTTGCATAAACAAACTTTAACAACACAGGTGGGAAGCAATCAGGGTAAATTTGTACCCCCAGCATTGTCAAATTTGGCAAATAAAACTACAGAATGTGTGGTTACATTTGAATTTCACATAAAGAATTTTTAGTATAAGTGTATCCCATGCAATATTTTATATTTAAACTAAAAATTTTTTTTTCTCTTTATCTGGAATTCAGATTTAGCTCAGTGCCCTGTATTTTATCTGGCAACCCTGCCTTCTATAGGCCTAAAGTTGCCTGTGAGCCCACTCAGGAGCTCTGGTTCTGGGTCTGTCCCCTGCCCGGTCCTCTAAGGATCTGGTGCCACTTTCTTTCCAGGTTCTCATTCCAGAGCGATACATGCAGGGTTTCTGTGGGAGAAGATTCTCCTCCTCACAGTACTTATCCCACTGTCCTTGGCTCCTGGGATTACCCAGAAACAATCATGCAGTGAGGTTTAATCCCACATCACCATGTGTGATCTTCCTTCCAGTGGCCCAGAGCACAGGATTCTCTGTGTTGGCTGCACAGTGGAAATACTGGGGAATTTTAAAAAAGTATTGATGCCTGGATCTCATCCCCAGAGATTCTGAATTAATTGGTTTGGGATGTGGGCCACCTATTGTGATTTTAAAAAATCTCCCCATGTTATTCTAGTGAGCAGCTAACATTAAAGACCACCCTTAAAGCCACCAATGCAGAAAAGTGCGGGTCTGGCCTGAGGTCTCATTGGCAGGGACTTAGAGAGAGCCATCTATTAATTGAGTGTACTTGAGGTTACAAGACAGAAGAAAGCCAAGTAAATTTCTTGGATGCACCAAGTAAATTTTTGATGGTTCTGGTCCTCAGACATGTGTGAGGGATTCAAGGAAATGAGCTGTGAGACCTCTGTTGTCCAGGGGCTCATGGCACACATGGGGAGAGATGCTTCCTCCTTTCCACACCCTGTCAGTACTGAAATAGTACCTTCCATAGAGCCATGGACTGGGGACTTCAGAGTCCAGTGTGTGTGTGATGGAGTGGGGGCTGGAAGGAGAGGTCAGATGTGCTGCAAGCCAAGGAAGACTGGGCAGGAACAAGGCTAGGGCGGCCTCGATGGCCCAGATGCTCATTGCACTGGCAAGCTGTGAGAAGCTTCAGTCCCTCCTGAAATGGGGAAATGATGCTGGGAGAAAGTGGCTTGGTATATGAGTGGGTGAGGAAGGCAGGCTGATATGTGAGCTTACTGTCATGGCTGACACTTAAATATATATGCTAGAGAGGCAGAGAGTATGAATGTAATGACAGTAATGAGAGCTGTTATTCAAGTACTACTGAATCACATGGTAATGTTATTACATATAATATATTCTTATTTTTGTGACAAAGTATAATGATATGAATGATAATTCTCCTCTACAGTTTCTTGTCCAAATCCTTGGGACCATAATAGAATTTTTCAGACTTCCCAAAAGTAAAGTGATAAATAATGTGAATAAAGCAAAAACCCAGTAGTGAATGGGCCAGCGTTCTAACCAAACACACTCACATTTCTGCAGCAAAGTTATGAACATTGATCCTAAGTGGGATGAATAAGCATTATAAAAAGCCTCATATCTCTCCAGGTCAGGTTATGAACAACCTTTCGGTTTTTGAATCTTTTTGGATTCTGCAATTGTGGGCTTGTAAAACCTACCTACATCATTTGGGGAACATTAACTATTTGGTAAGCAGTGTACCAAATACTTCAAATACATGTTCCCATTTAAAACTCATGCAGCCCTGTAAGGAAAAAGCAAAACAAACATTATTATAGGTGGAGGCCACCATTTCTCCTATTTTGCAGGTAAAGAAAAGGAAGGCTGCAAGGTTGAACAACCTGCCCAAGCTCTAGGCCCATGGCTCTAAAGTAGAAGTTAGAACAGAAATTCCAATTCTATTCTGACTCCAGAACTGAACTACCCTGCCAGGTGGAGCTTCAAGTAGAGAAGCTTGGGAGAGGAGTACACACAGTCCCTGGGTAGACACAGAGACACGCACAGTCATAGTAGTCTCTGCAGAGGTGTGTGTGTCTATGCAGAACATGTGTGACTGTTCTCTTGTGAAGCTGTGTAGATGAGTGTGTGTACCATAATTTGTGTGTTTGGGCATCTTTCCATGCTCCTGCATATCTGTGTGTTGTGGGGGTGTCTGTTTGGCATAGGGAGTATATGGGCATGATACCCCATGTCTTTGTGCTTGTGCCATCTCTTCTTGACTCTGCATGGCAGTTCTGGAACAAGGAGAGTTACTCTTGTAATACGTCTGCTTTCACAACGTGTGCAGCCCAGGGAGGAGGTCTACTGAGTGGGTTTCAGTCATTCTCAGGAGAGATGGAGTCTTTGGAGGGAGATCTGGTGATGAAGACTGTCTGAGTGAAGGCCTCAAGTGGATGAGTTAGTCAAGGTCAGTTCACAATCACCCATGGACCCAGGGAGGTTCTGCAACACCTCAGTGCAGTCAGTGAACTTCATCTTGGTTCAGTTATTTTTGAGGGGACTGTCCTCTGGATAAATGAAAGAAATCCAGATGTTCTCAAAGGTTCTTAGCAGAAGGAAGAGATAAAGATGAAAGCCTTTGTGGAGACCTTGGTTTTGCATTGTGGGTCTGCATATTGGGCAGCCAGCGGGGATGCGTGCAGTAGGTGGGAAGGAAGGCTGCTGCATAATTGTTTTCTGTTTTCCCAGACCATGCTCTAGAGAGTGAACCTGGGAAGAAGCTGAGATACCCTACAGCCTGGAAAGCAAATTCAAGTAAGTGATGACCCCAAGAGTCGGATTCACTGCTCAGGCCTTGGCACTGTGGATATTGGATGGCAAACTTCAACACACCAACTCAGGGGAAGAAAAAAAAACCAACTATATTGCTTGAGGTTCAGCATCAGTCTATATTCTCTATGAACCTCTGATGGGTACTACAGGAAGGAGAGAAAAAAAGGGAAGAATATAACATATATTGTCTAACGTGCCAAATGCCTTGTTAGTCATTTTTCATGCTGTATTTTGTTTCTTCCTGAGAGCTACTTCTAAGGTAGGTATTACTATTTTATTTTCAATTTAAAGATGCTCATGAGGGTTAGGTAGTTTATCTCTGGTCATCCTGCTAGCTGGGACTTGAACCCATGACTCTTTGACTACAATCCCTTTCCATTATACCACATTGCCTCTGAGGTTCCTCCCTTTTCATCATACTGTTGCCAGCAAACCTTGAACCATAAACCACAAACACATTGGTTTCTACTGTTGTAAATATTTCCTGTGTTTTCTTTGATAGAATTATTAAAATTTCAAGTACAGAAGAGATCTGATACTATAATTTAAAGTTCCCTAAACTGGGACTCAGAAAAACTGAGTTCTAGACTTAGTCCTTTATTGCTTCAGATTCCCTCATCTGGAAAACAAAGTGATTGGCAAAGATGCTGGTACAAAACCTTTTTAGTTAAGTTGGGTTAGGTTCTGACCCTGGTAGGGGCTTTGTCTTACTTCTGAGTTTCCTGAGAGTCTGTAGCACAGAGCCAGACATAAGGTGACAGTGGCATATGCACGAAATCCTTCATTATATCTACTGTTAATTCACAGTGATTTTTAAAACCAACAAATGACAAAACACTAACACCCAAAACACAAATTGAAAAATAGTTGCTAATATTCACTGAGCTCTTATTAGGTGACAGGTGCTCTTTTCTAAGAATGGAGTGGACAGGGGCCTTATAACTCTTGTGCACCGTGACTTGCTAATTTAACCTCTGCAGTAAAAAGAAAGCTGATGGACCTTCCAACCCTGCTGAAAGCCACCCAAAAACACATTGTAGTCAATATCAATTTTGCAATGTATTATTGATTCTAAGAGGCATTAATTTCAAAACAAACAATGGTTTTATTTGGTGATTTCCATACTGCAGATACAACTACGATTTGTGCTGACCTGCCTCTTGTCAGATATTTTTTGACTGTCTGTAGAATGAAAGAGAACTTATTTTGGGGTGTCTTTGTTGAACTGAATTGGGAGAAGGAGGACAGGGAAATATAAATGGGAGAATTGTTAATAACTGTCTCCACCCCACTTCCCACTGCTCTGGCCAAAGTTGATGTAAAACTCCTATATCCATGGTCCCTGATTCCCCTTCAATATGTACATCAAATTGCTTTCCTCATTTTGCCAGCATACATACACATCAATTGCATTTACCTGTGGCCTCTATTTCATTTTTGTTTGGCATTCTAAAAGCCTATAAATGCCGATATGACGAAGGACTTATCTGTGAAGCATTCATTCATTCATTCATTCATTCATCAAATGTGTGCAAGGAGCTTAGGTCTGAATGTAAAAGTGGAGGTGAAGGTCAGGGGGGTCATTGAGGAAGGAGACTGGTCCTGGCATAGCCCCACCTCCTTCTGAGTGAGATGGGCTCCAAGGCAGTATGGGTTCATGGAAATTGACTTTCCAGGAAGCCCATCCTTCCCTTTCCATCCTGGGATGGAAATTTGTAGCCCACCCCAGGGGCCTCTGCCTGCTCCTTCCTCAGTCCCCCTCTTTTTATTTTCCCATTTTTCCTGGCAATTGTATTCTCTCAAAGGCTCTAGTTATGATTGCTATACTAACCACTCCTGATCATATACTACATCTCAGCTCTCCATTCTGAGTGTATACTGGAGTATTTATGTCCTATCTTGCAGGCACCTCAAACTCAACTTCTCCAAACCAGCTCCTCCCAATAAAAGACCCTCTCCTGTGTCCTTTTTGCCTTCTGTATACCCAACCCACTTATGCCTCAAGGAAACACAGAGGTTGTCCTACAGTCTTGCTTCCTCTCACTTCTACATCTAATCAGCTAATGATAAACCCGCCTTTAATTAAAATTAATTATTTAGTAATTAAACTATTTTTTAGTTAGTAAATTTTTGTTCAAGTATAACATCCATTCAAAAAGCTTCCATAAGTGCACAATATGATGGGATTTTTTTCCAAAGTAGAATATATCTCTCTATAACCACCATTCAGATAAAAACCCAGAACTTTCCTTCCTGAAGTACCCCTGTTACCTCTCAGTCACTGCCCCATAAAGGTGATTCTTCTCCTGAATCGAACATCAGTGTGATAAGTCTTGTTTGATTTTAAACTTTTTATAAATGGACTCACAGTATACGTCTTTTGTGCCTGACTTCTTTCACTCAACATTAAGTTTGTGAGATGCATCCATGCTGTTATGCATGATCAGTTGTTTATTTCTCAGTGCTGTGCGGTATTCTTATTGCACAGCAAGGGAGTATTATTATAAAGTGTGTATCTTCATGAGGCCATTTGAAGACATGCTGAATAAAGCCAAATCGTGAGAAGCTTCATTTCATAGAGTACATCTTTAAAAGAAAGGCACAACAGTTTGTGATATTTAATTTTTTAATTGTTATTTAAAAATGTTTATTATAATTTTTTTTTTTTTTTGAGACAGAGTCTCACTCTGTAGCCTAGGCTGGAGTGCAGTGGTGCAGTTATAGCTCACCGTAACTCCTGGGCTCGAGCAATCCTTCTGCTTTAGCCTCCCAAGTAGTTAGGACTACAAGTATGTGCCACAATGCCTAGCTAATTTTCTAATTTTGTTTAAAGGTTTTTGCAGCAACAGTGCCTAACTGTATTGCCCAGGCTGGTTTTGAACTCTTGGCCTCAAGCAATCCTCCCTCCTTGGTCTCCCGAGGTGTTGGGGTTACAGGCATGAACCACTGAGCCCTGCCTGTGATGCTTAAAGTTTACCAATAAGGAAGCTGAGGTATTCTGGAGAGAAGCAGATTGTTAAGAAGACAGAAAAAGTAAAAGTGAAACTTCTTCTATTTTCTAGAGTTTGTCCTTTTCCTTGTAGTTTTGAAGGAAAAGTCATGCTTCAATTAATAACAGACAATGGAGTCGATATGATGGGAGCAGAGACAATGATGTGATCAAATGCCAAGAAATGACTGACAGCAGAAAAAATATCATGTGAGCCAAAGCAATTTCTCTTGACTTCTAACTTTATTCATCCAACAAATAACATTTCATCACAGTTTTATCAATGGAATGCAATTCCACCCAGATCATTCTGTCAACGACAAGCAATAGCATCAAATCATTCTGTCCACACAAATAAATCAATTGTTGATTATTGTTTTCTTCTATTTGGGATACAAGGAGGACCAAATATTTTGAGTAAAACAAAGGAAAGGAAAGCAGGAAAAACATTTTTTGTTTTTAAATTGCATTTAAAAAAAATTCATCCTGATGTGAGGAAGGATAATGTTTTAAAACTTGTACCAGGGACAAACTGTAATAATAAACATAATGAAAGAAAAAGCAACCGTTTATTGGTTCTTGCAGATAAAATAGCATTTTCAGGTTTTTTTTTTTTTTTTTTTTTTTTTTTTTTTTTTTCTGTTGCTTGTGTAGTTCTTACTGGAATTCCTTCCTCGTTCTTTGAATGTGTAATCATATTTTGAGAAAACATGAAATCTCAGAGTCTTACAAAATTCAAAAGGGGAAAGGGTCATCTTTAAATGACAAGCTGTGTGGGGAGTGCCCTGGTTATGAATTAGGCTTTTTTTCCTAATGCTACAATTTCTTCTTGCTGCTATTTTGATGGTGTTGAAAGCCCTTTTCCCAGATTTGTAAATTTGTGGTCCACTACTGAATGGAAAGAAATCGGGTTTTTACAAATTTAATTTTATATTCTTGCTAGGTATGACAAAATTTTGCATCAAGCTTTTTCACTTAGTGCATTATGTCGTGAGCATCTTTGTTAAATTTGCCCTGGGAGGAAGGAATCTTCCAGCAGCATCTGTGTGGAGAATGGTTCTCTCTCTGGGGCCATCAGGAGAAAAGCTTGCCCTTTGCTGTGGTTCCCTGGGCTGCAGTGCTTTTACTTAACTGACTCAGTCCCATTCATAGCTGTCCCATAAGGCCCCAGCTGTGGTATCAGCAGGGGGTCTAGTGTCTCTCCTGCTGTTTCTTTTTCCTCCCCAGGACCACCGTGGGAGGAGGTACTTTCTCTTTGTCAGAAGCACAGAAGCACGTGGTCTGCTTATAGCCTTTTTTTTTCTGACGATTTGCCCTTTTTGCCACTGCAAAGGAAAGAGTCATCTTTGCTCCTCAATTTTGGTTTATCCTAAGAAAGACCAACACCATGTTTAGCCCAGAGAGAGAAACACAGTAAATACAAGTTATATCTTCAGTGGGGCATCAAGTTCCATATACAAGGCTAACCTAGACTATAAAGTCCTTGAAGTGAGTGAATTTATTATATATCTCTATCTCTGGACACACCCATTGCCTGAAATAAAGAGAAGCTTAACAAAAGTGTCTTCATAAAGACAAAGACAGGGATGATTATTTGTGGATACAACATTTAAAGTAGAAATAGAGTTCAAGAAGATTTGATTCTAATTGAAATACTTCCACCTAAATAAGAATCCTGATGTAAATAATGACTAGTTTTAAAATGACACCTTTTTTTCCCTGACATTAAAAGCAATGCTTATTCATTAAATTAAGAAATAAACACCCAGTACAATTTAAGAAGAAAATGGAGCACATCTCTATCCCCACCACTTGGCTAACATTTGGTGTGCTTATTCTCTTGCTCTCTGTCTGCTTCTCTCTCTCTTTTATCCTTATTCACTCCTGCCCTCACCTCTCTCTCTCTCTCATCTATCTTTGTTTTGATTTTACAAAGTTAAGTTTATATTCATGCTATACATGATTAAGGCTACAAATTTGGCATTTTCACTTAGAACATGAATATATTTGTCAAACTTTTAGAAACATTTTACCAAAGCCCTGTTTTGAAGACTTATGTTGTTCTTCATTAATTTTTGAATTAGGGATATATCATATGTGGGTATATTTATACACATATTTTGGGGCATACTTTAAATTGTTTTCTTAGGAAATATTGCTAAAAGTAGATTTTAAAAAAATATTAAAGTGTTTGATACATGTTGCTATAATATCCTCCAGAAAGTCTGAACCAATTTAAACTCCCATTAACCACGTGTGTACATATTTCCATTGCAACCTTGTCAGCGCTGAAGAACATAATTAAAAAAGAAAGAAAGTACTATTTTTGATAAACAGACAAAAGGGAAATGACACTGTTGTTTCATTTTCATAAAATACTAAATAAATTCTTACTGTTTTTTTGTTTCTCTTGTGAATTGCCTGCTTACATTCTTGTCCCTTTCCTAATGATCTGTAAATGCTTTTTAAAATTTATTTGGAGAGCTCTGATAAATGCTATGAATATTTCCCCTAGGTATTGCTTTTGTTGAAATATTAAATAGTAATTTTCCCCCATAAACAGACATGTCTGATATAAAAATATAGGTATTCCTTAATATTTTTTTCTTTGTTTTTAGATTTCAATCTGACTTTAAAATAACATACATTTTCTTCTCTTTTATTCTTTCTCCTCTTCTTTATTCTCTCCTTCCCTTCTTTTCTTTTTCTCATTTTACAACTAATTGGTCAGCACTTCTGGGATATGGTATAGAGCAGAAATCTAAGATTTTCTTTTTCAAAAATGTAATAATTTCTCTAAAAGCCATTACATTCTCTTCTCTCTCCCTTGATTTTAAATGTGATCTTGGTCAAATACTGAACTTTAATTAGTATTAGAGTCTATTTCTGAAGCTGCTTCCCTGTACCACTGGTTCATTTAATAATTTTTGCTTGAGCGCCACATGGCTTTAATTACTGAGCTTGACAATGTGGTAAGCGTCATTTCTGATAGTGTTAGTCTCTTTTCATTACTCTCTTTGAGAAGCTTCTTTGTTTATTCTTCTAGATGAACTTTTATGTTCATTTTGAAAAAACATTTGCTGTCTAAGATTTATGGAAACATAAATTCTTTTTGGAGCAAATGATATACTTAACAGTATTGCATCCTTTTGAAAAATGTGTTCTTCCTACTCAGGAATACTATTTGTTTCTCCATTTATTTAAGACTCTTATGCTCCTCTGTAAAGTATAACAATTTTCTTCCTGAAGTTCTACCTACTTCCTACATTTATTGCTAGATATTTTATATATTTGCTGATATTGTTGGTGGAAAGCTATTGTGGAATGTGGAGTGTGCTGTGTGTTATGTGCATTTTGTATTTAGCCACTAATATTTTGGTTGCTTCTCTGAAGTTTTCCTTTTGCTTATTTAATTAAACCATATATTACTCATGTATTTTTTTGTTTTGTTGCATTGGTTAGAACTTTCAAAGTACTATGTAAAAACAGGGACACCACCTGTATTATTTTTATTGCTGCTCACTCTAAGGTAGATTCCTCCTTCTACCTTAGAGTGAGCAGCAATACCTATCTTAACGCTGGACCTTTAGTTTCATCATTTAACCAAGTGTCCGGTTTTAAGAGAGATTTTTTTATAAAGGAAGAAAGCTTTATTGTGTGTGTGTGTGTGTGTGTGTGTGTGTGTACATAAAATTAGGTAAATTTATATGGAAATGACTTTAACCAGGAATATTTTTTATTTAAATATATATATATATATATTAATCTTTAAATTTCTGAAGTCACATTTACCTGATCATGTGTATTGATCTCTATCTTCAGTATCCTTATGATTTTGGTTTGTGTTGATATTTTATTTTGGATTTTTGCATTTATATTGTTAGTAAGTAGGGTTTAGAGGTGTGTATATGGTGGGGGGTGTGTGTGTGTATGTGTGTGTGTATATGTGTGTGTAATTAGGATTGTGCTTTCTCCATCAAGTTTGGGTATTAAGGTTATGGAAAATCTAGAAATCTTCTGTTAAAAATATATTCTGAAATATTTTCTATGGCATGGAGTTTTAAAGAACTCACATATATTTCCCTGCCATTTAGAAGGCAATATGTATTTGCCTTTTGAGATTTTTCTCTGTATTTTTGATCAGTTCAGATAGTTTTTCTCTTTATGATTAAGTTTTGATTCACTTAGGTTTTCCTAGAAAATTGCCCATTTCATCATTGTTATACAATTTTTTAAAAAGTATATGAATATATTTGCTTCCTTATTTTTAACTTTTCATTTTTGTATCTTCTCTATCATTTACTTGCATATACATGCTAGACATTTAGCTATATTTAGCTTCTCCTTCCAAAGATCTATTCCTAGGATTTATCAATTTTCTCATTCTAAACTCATATTTTTAAATGTATTTATAAATTTCTGCTTTCCTTGAGTTTATCTTATTTTTCTTCTGATAACTAAGTTGGATGTTTTGTTCATTTATTTTCACATTTCATTTTAAATTTCATAGGCATTTAAAGCCTCAGATTTCACACTGAAAACATTTTGGTTGTCACACAAAAGTTTTATATATAATTTTTTATTTGTTATAATTTTCTCAACTGTCATTAAAAAACATTTAATTCTAGTGTGATTTAAGAATATCTTTAACTTTTCCAAGTGGTTGTATTTTGTTGTTACTTCTCTTTGCTATTCATTTGCAAAATTTCTTCTCTTTGCAATTTATTTGGATTTTTATTATGACAATATAGAATGTATTTAAAAAAATTTTTTTTAGTGCTTCATGTGTATTTGAAAGATATGGTGTTCTCTGTTGGTAGTTGTCTGTAGTTAGATATATGTCTATAACGGGATACCCAAGTTGAAATTTAGTTCTAAGAATTTCAAAAACATAATAGAAAGTAAAAGTTGTTGTATAGCACTGATGAGACCAGTGGGCTGGAGCACACACAGCACAGCCATTAGAGATATGAATGATTGCATCTGAAACTGTCAGACTTTCCCATGGTCAATCAGTGCCTGGAACAGGAGTCAAGGCTGGGAGGCCAAGCTTAGCCTGGAAAGTGCAGTAGAGCACAGCTGGACAGAAAGGTCCAGTTCTCAGGAGCAGAGAGAAGCAGGGCAGGGAGTTTTGCTGGAGTAGGCCTCCAGAAGTGGGTACATCTGCTGGCAGGGACAGTTGGTTCTCTCTTTCCTTCTTTATGAACGCTCAGTAAATTCTTGCTAAAGGCTGTTATCTGCTCCTGGCCATGGGATCCAAAAGAAAGGTATCTTCTAGACCTGTGCAGAGAGGGAAGGGGAAATGAGACCTCTACCAAGGTGGGGGCTGCTTAGCTGACCCTCATTAGGCCTGGTGGCAGGGTAGCAAAGATGGCGGCCAGGCAGCTGGAGGTGGTAGAGGTACATGGATGAACAGGAAGGCTCAGTCCTGGGGTTTGATGAAGCAA